AGAAGGAGAAGGAGGCCGCCGCCGATGGCCCTCGAGTGGGGCTCTGGGAGCGCGCGGGCCGCTGCCCGCGGCCGTTAGTCGGGGACGTGCCCACGGTTTGGGTCCCGGTGGGGCCGCGGTGTCACGGGGACGTTACTGCGTAGCTGCTGGCCGGGCAGAACCTCAGGGGTGGTGGAGGTCTTGAGTATAAAGAAACAAGGGCCCCTGCAGCGAGAAGTAGCAGCTGCATAGCGGTTTTAAGGAACCAAACGGTGGTGATCCCTGTCTAAATTCCATCTAAGTCCTGCTTTAGGAGGCTTAGGGTATGTCTGCAAGGATAGCGTGATAAGCCTCAAGCCTGTGCTAATACCCCAGCTGGCCTTAAGGCACGTGCAGTTGAGTCTAGAGCGTGCCTGAGCCACAGTTGAGAGTGGCACGGTGGGAAGAGCAGGACGAGCCTTTCTTCCAGTGCCTGAGCACACAACTCATGCCACCTGGATGTGAAGCACAGCTACTGTTCCACCTCAGCTGAGACGTGGTGCCTGACTGGGGATACTGCTAAGAGGTTTTAGGGTGAGTACAAGTAGATTAACATAAACTGGGAATTAGTAGTTTGTAGCACACAGATTTTGAATGTCGCGCTGCAGAGCCAGTAGGCAGGAACCACAGCATCTTGCTTCGCATGGGGTTTTGAATTCCGGGAGAATCCTTGCTTTGCACAGAGGTGCATATTTTGCTGATAATTCATGGCTTCCTGACATAACAAGAAGGAGTATCTCTTGGCTCATGCTGAATTCCTAACCAGCACAGCACCTTTAAATGGGGGGAAAAAAGATTGCACTTCTGCCCAGTACCTCTGAAAGTTACCCCAGCAGATCCAAGCTAATCTGTCTGATTTAGCCTAAAACAAACCAGAGGCAGTTGCATTGTTACAAGCGAACGATAGTTCAAGAAGTTGTTTCTTAACAGTTCTAGTTACCCCTTCGCTCCAAGGCTGGATACGTGCTTGTAACATTGTTGCGGATATGCTCCCTGTGCTAGTGTGTATATTTTGAGTCTAGCAGGATTCGAAAGCAGTCTTCTGAAGGTAGGTAAGTCGCTCTCTGAATGTGAGTTTGCAGAAGCACCTAGCTTCATGTTTGTTTCACACAGGATTCTTTGCAGTGGCCAGATTTCTACAGCTACAGAGATAAGTCAGATCAGTCCTTGTAAAAAGAAGCTAACAGGTTGAAGTGGGTGTTACCTTTACCTTTTCACTGAGCAGTGCCAGCGAGATGTATGTCAAGGTCAGTTTCTTGTTTTCCATTAGGGAATGTAAACTGATACTATTGTGCATAGCAAACCAATGACTAGTATCCATCCCAGATGAATGTTTTCGTCATTCAGATAAAATCACATTCCTTTTTGTTCCCCCACAGGCACCTTCTTCTGTCTTCCCCATACAAACTTTACATTTTTTTGTTCTCTGTGTCTGCAGCTCCATGAAACTTACTTTTTTGGCCAATAGAGGCACAACTTCAACAGCAGTAATGCAGAGGTCCTCTGCCCAGCTTGTCCCTTCCCAGACCTTGCCTGTAGAGTAAAGCACGGTCCTAGCACGGGTGAGATTGGATCTGAGACTCCATAAACAGGAAGGAATCTTCTGTTCCCCAGGCAGGTGCTGTAACCACTGAGTTATTACATGTCAAACTAGGCAGATCTGCCATTTGTATGTTCCGTTGAAGGGAAAGGGCTGCTGCTAACTTTTGTCTGAACAAACTTCTCAGCTGGACTCTAAGTGTGCCTGCCAGACTGAGTACCTTGGGCACTTGAGGGAAAGTACATCTTACTGGTGGATGTAAGTGTAGTTTGAGTTGGGTCCTGGATCTCCAGCCGGGAGAAATGCAGATCTGGTGATGAGCAGAAGTATTGTGGGAATTTGAAGTATTGTGGGAACTTGACTATTGAACACAAAAATATTTAAGGGTATTTTTGTGGGCAATCATTTAAAGAGCTGCACTAAAGATTCAGGCATTTACTTGCTGTCTTTGTTGCACATCAGTCACCTCATGGTGAATACGAGCCTTTGCTTGTTGCCGGTGTGAGGAGTTAGTAGGTTTTGCACATGCCCTGGAGAAAGCTATCAGGCACATGGTTCAACCATGCCAGTAAGTGTTATTAGATCTAGACAGAGGCCCATTAGACATCAGGGCACCTCTGGCTTAGGCATTCACTGAGAAGATTGGAAAGTCGCATTTTGAGCTTAGCTAAGTGACAGCTGGGTGCCTGGTTATTTTGTGGATTTAGCACTAAGCTTATATGTCTGAATTCAGCTGTTCAGGTCTTGAAAACTGGTGCTCTAATCATCAGATAAAGTCTATCTTCGTAAGATGCATGAATTTCACCTCAAAGTCACTGCTTTGATTCCTATCTAAGCTAAGAGAAGGCTTTCATTTATTTAAAAACATCATGTATTTAGTTCACAAAGAAGTTCACAATTATCACTAATGCTTTATTTCAATTTCACTGTCTTTCTCCACACTGATACGAAGGAAGACCAAACAAGTAAACTTTTGTGAGATGACTGTCAGTGTTTACAGATGGATGTTAGTATTCATCCATGTTAGATAATTGGCAAGATCGAGACCTTACACTGCAGCGGTCTTCTTTACTTATGCATCAAATAAGGCTAGGTTTTGAGTAATACTGCTAATTTAATAAAAATATAATTTAATTAATTTATGCCACAATTTACATAAAATGAAAGGACTATTTTAAATTCATGCTGACAGTAGATCAACTGCCACTTGCAGCTTGTCTACTGTCAAAATATCCATTGTGTTTTGTTCTCAGAGTGTAAATTACTTAAAATTAGAGCCCGTAGACTAGAACAAAAATGATAAATAAAAACTCTGGAGAAAGCAAAGGCAACACAGAATTGTTATTTCCTTTCCAGAGGCAGAAATAGCAATACATTTCTGTAAGAAACTTAAATTTTCTGTTATTTTTGCTCAGTGAGTCTTTTCTTTTTTGGTAAATTACTTCCATGACTAAGGTTTGGTCTCCCCCTCCCCTCCCCCCCCAGGTGATACTTAATGATTAGAACTTACATAGCATTTTTCCCAAAGTACATTTCGTATAGGCAAGAGATATGCCAGTAAAATTCACAAGTGAACTTCCTTGCTAAACAAGGTACCAGATAATAAAGAGGCTGCAAGCTTCTACCTTATGGAAATGAGGGAGAATTTTCAGCTGAGCAGTGTGTCAGTAAAGGTCAGTATTAGGTAAATCAATGAAGCTGTAGCCCAATATTAAGCTGTTGTTGTCAAAGCTCCTAATTTATATCGGGAATGCAATTTTATGAAACATGATCAAGTAGGAGGAAAAAAGCAGGAGTAAGACGTTGTGAGATAATCACACCTCTAGGTCATTATTGAACATCAAATTGCCTGTAAAGGCCTAAAGAGCCTGTTCATAGAATGAACTGTTTAATGGTTACAAACACAAAACTATTAATCTCTTTTATCTATTCAGCCAGCTTTTGGAGTATTAGACATCAATATATTTACATCTACTTTGTTCTGCTGTCTTTTGGTGTTCAAATCTGACATTTAACTATAAAAAAAGTCGGATGCTATAACTGTATTTTGTTTTCTTTCTTTAAAATAGCAATTTCTGAGAAGAAGAAAAATAAAAGACAGTATTCTTTCTCCACCTACTAGAATTATGTCTGTATCAACAAAGCTAGGGTAGATACAGGCATGAATTTAATGCAAAGTTTCATCCTCTGTGCTTCATATTCAGTAAGCGGGAGTATGACTTGCT